CTAGAATTTTTGTTTAAATTTAGTTTAACATGTTTTGCTTTTTGTCCACATTTTGCAAGTAAACCACATTCTTGACTTCACAGGTCTGGAACTAAGTCTTTTTCTGCTACACACATCATCACATGAAGACCGATGTCTTGTGAAACATATATCTTTGCTCTTCTAATGAACACATTCACTGTCTATACTGAGACTGACAAGTGAATGTGGAGTCTGTAATCAAATATCCACTTTAAAATTGATTGACCACTTTTAGTTAACTACCTTAAGTTGATTACAGTTGATTTTTTACTTCAATCGCATTTTTGGGGTCACAAAAAAAAAAAAAATTCCCCCAAATTTTCAATTTTTTAACAAAATTACCTATGTCCTCATGCCTCTAACCAGCTCAGTTTCTTATTCTCAGCTGGAGTAGGTTCCAACCCGCACCTAATGCTGAGTCAGTCAGCTTCAGCCAAAACAACCATTCTGGCAAAATAAATCCCGTGTTAGACATCAAATCCACATGTCAAAGATGTACAGCTCTTTAGCTGTGAGGATGAAATTTGTAAAATTTCTGTTGACCTCTGCCTAAATATGTCACTCCCAAACTCCCTTCCGATGCATGGGCGTGCAGGTTGTATGATCCCAGGCTACAAGTCGAGGACAAAACATTTAACCCCAGCCTGCAATGAAACCTCAAAAAAAGTTCCATCAGAAAGGGCATCCAGTGTAAACAATCCTGCCAAACCCTACCTTGAGAGTCAAAGCTGATGGGCTGTGGCGACCCATGACCCCTAATGGGAAAAGCCAAAAGGTGATGAGTCAAGTACTGGATATAAGAGTAGCAGGTAACTCTGTGATTATGACAAACTCCCAAGTTTTAAGGCCCAAAAATAACTTGATTTACCTACACCCATAGCTTTGTAAAGGATTTTAATGGATTTACATGAAGGTGAGAGGCAGGGTACAACCTAAACAGGCTGCCAGTATGGTACTTAAAAGAAAACAAAAAGATTAATCCATCCAAGATAGCTGCCCATTGTTCTAAATGACAAACAAGGCGTGTCTTACTTTGTCAATGACTGTCCATTTATAGATCATTGAAGAAGGGCATTTATATTTAAGCTCAGCCTCACATGCTAAAGTACGTGAGCAATATGTGTTTGTTGTAGCTTTGAATGTCTTCATCTGTTTGTTGTTTTTTTTCACATATTTATTTCTATATTTACATATTTGCAGTATGCTTAAGGGACTCCGTCCACGCTTCTGTCTGTGTGCTTGTCTTTGCCATTGTGCATCAGTCGATTGGAGAATATGTGTTTATGTGCGTGATGCTCTGGCTTTGTTTAATGTCACTGCCCGTGCTTCAAATTGACCAACACCAGTAGATCCTCCCTCTCTCAGAATCTCCTGAGTAATTAAAATTGCTAAGCTTGACAAATGGATTAATGTTAGACGCAGCTTGAAATACGGAAAGTGGATGTGTAGGCATGTAGACATTAGTGTATGCGGACATGCTCATGTTAATCTTACAGTGTAAGGACAAAGAAAGGATTGTGTTGGTTAGAGATACAGCATGAAGACAGTGCACATTATATGAGGGAGATAAAAATGGTGGAGCTATGAGAATAGCAATATATATATATATATATATATAGAGAGAGAGAGAGAGAGAGAGAGAGACTGTGCTAGTTTTCATGTCAATTGACATTCTTCTCTACCCCCCTTCATCAATCAGCGGTGTGGACAAATAAATCTATGTATCCTCGGAATAAAAGTTTTATTGAGTGCCTGCTGCACTGCTGAAGGAAGACAGCAGAAGCTGATGAGGGACCCAAAAAATATGTTTTAAAAAGGCTACAGATAACGGCAGGATAAGGTAGTGCAGGCGTGTGTTTTACAAAATGCTGGTCAATATAAGGAAAGGTGTGCAAGGATTATTTGATGGAAGGAAGCTACTGGAGTAGCTGCTCTGATTTAATGAGAGGGGTGAAAGAGTCCAGCTCTCCTTTCGGTTGTTATTCATCTAATGAGAATCAAAGTCTGCTGACTCAAGATAAAAGCAGGGCATCACAGGGCATCACAGTGCAAGAGGCAGGTTGTCTTATTTATCAGAAATAAATACATAATATGCTGTGTAAATATGGACTTGAAAAGTAGACATTGTGTGGAGTGGAGGGGCTAATGAGCTTCTTTTAGGCCTCTTCTTCCGGCTCTCGGCGAGTGCAGACGTGTTTCTCTCTGCTCCCTCCCCTGCCCTTTTTGCCTGCTTGCTATCTTTGTCCTGTCGTATCTCAGAGCCTCTTTCTGCATTTTCACTTCCTAAAGCCTAACATCAACCATGGATTTGGTCGGCTGGTCTCTCAACGCAATTGACAAAATCTTTTCAACCCAAAGACAAGCTGCAGGGGCTGCAACTGGTCCAGCTGGGACTCACGCTGCGGGTTTCACGATGGATGCATGGAGGAGCTGGAGGGTTTTATGCCTCTCAGTTCTCGAGGACGTCGAGGACCTATACCTATTTGGATTCATGATAACCGGGTTCCTGCTGATTGGAGTTGGTGGATACCTAGGTTTTCGAGAAATTCGGAGGCTGATGGCAAGTGGTGGCGGGCTGCCTGTCGAGCCGCTTTACCGGGCCATTAACACTCGGACTCAAACCTTGGTGAGTGAACTGGGGACTCAGTGGAGCAAACAGGAGGCTCATAGGAGCAAAATGGGGACGATGTGTGACAGCATGAGGGTGATGGGGAACACCTTGGAGAAGTTGGTGGTTCGGATGGATGGAAATTAACACAATTCGGCTGAATTGGATCGCCATTGAGAGACCTGCTGAGGACTTAAGGCAGACAAAACACACTCTGTCTGGAACAAAGCTATCTCTCTTATCTCAATCTGGCCTCCCGAGAGCGGCCTTGCAGCTGCTACTCTACAACTTTGCCCTGGATGAAACTGCAGACCGACGCTTTGCCCCCCCCCCTTCCCAAGCAGGAGTATGGGCATCACAAGGACAAATTCCATCTAGCCTGGATGTGGAACCCAGCTTGCTTACACTTACACACACACAACTACAGACCTCATGCATTCCTTGGACTCACTGCCTCGCTGTTACCTTTCCCCCTCCTTCCAACCCCCCATCCCTCCCTCCCTATGTGTCCTTGACATAGGGCAGCCTTGGCGGAGTCCAACTCCCACCGGAAACGAGTCCGACTTACTACCGGCAATGCGAACCAAACTCTGACTCCGGTCGTACAGGGACCGAACAGCCCGTATGCAACCCATCTCATTTGAAAATGACCATGATGATTCTGTTCCCTATTGGTTCTCCTCGGACAACAAATTCATAGTTATCTCTCTATATACTTGCTCTTTTCTGGTCTCTGATACCTTTTAACCTCAGAGATGATAAATGTGTGCATTAACCTCTTTTTCAGCTGCACAGCTCTTGTGTTTCATCTGCCATCATTCTTCGATGCATTTCTATCCAATCCTCATAAATACAGAACAATTATCTTCAATCGAGCTATTTTATCAAATCTTAAATATTCTTATGTGATGATTATATTAGAGCTTAACTTTTGGTACACAAACTTGTTGAGTTGTCTGATCACATTAACAGATTTCTGCTCATGTGCATTTATAATATCAAACTACTTCGTCTTGGTCTTTGTGCACTAGGATACCTTTTTTTTCAAAAGTAAGAACACAATAATTTGATAAATCGAGAACCTCTGTCTATTTTTTATTGCTCAGTTTTGCTTTATGGTAAAAACATATTGTTTCGGCCCTTGAGTGGCTTGAGGTAAACTTTTCTGTCTGAGTCATATTTTAAAGCTAAAGGTGGGGACCTCAAAAGAGCAGTATATTAAAAAGGAAGCTCAAGCATCACATATAGAGCAAATGCACATGACATCCTCAAGCATCTCCTGGGTGGTAAAAAACACGACTGAGTTAGCTAATTACAACTGTTGGAGCATCTGCAAAATTCAACAATCTTATCTAAAATGGGGAACAGTTGTTTAATCTACTGAATCGACACATTATATTATCTCACACAAATTTATTTAAGATTAAAGAAGCTGAGCCAAAAGTTTGTCTTCAATTCACTGAGGAGAGCCCTGCAGACCAACTTGAAAATGTTTCGTAGGGAAGGAAACCAACGAATTGCATCACATCTTCACTTCCATCCAATCCCCGTCCTAAGCGTGCACAAGGCATCTGTGAAAGGGAAAAAGTGGAAGAGTGGCTATCTACCTCGACCAGCAACTCAAGGCTACTTTAAGAGAAGAATAAAAACAGGTTGCTACCATCAATAATGTCACATGTACGTGGAGGAGGAGGAAAAGGAGAACAGAGGTTAGGATAGGTGAATCAAGACCTGTAGCAGCATAATTATGGAATGCTGAAAGGTCACCTGAGCCATCCTTAATTATATGCTTAGTCAAAAGGGAAAAGTTTGAAGTGTACTCTTAAAAGTAGAACATTTGTCTGGTTTTTGTACTACAAACAAGCAGGTGGTTCCATATCAGAGGTGCGTGATAACCACCTCACATCAGTTTTAGGAACCACAAGTTGACCTGCAGTCTGAAAGTGAAGTCTCTGTTTGGAAAGTATCCAATTATTTGGTCTTTGAGATAGGATGGGAGCTTGGTCTTTCAGAATTCATATGTGAAAAGCAGAATTTAAGATTATTTCTGAATTAAACAGTATGCCAATAAAAAGAAGCTGAAATTAAAGAAATATCATTCGTCCTTCTAATTGTTATCCAAACTGGGAAAGCATTTTCAAGGACTTTTTGGGGGAGTTTTTTGTGACAGAGAAAAATAAATTTACTATTCCAGTCTGTAAGACACTAATATTTTTGCATCACTCTGAGACTGGGTATTTGTTGAATTCTGATTATATTGGAAAGTGTCATGAGTTCTGGATTTTGGGTTTGATCGCTGTTTGGGTTTTTAGAATTAGAATTTGTGAGATTTTTGTATTGTTGCTCCATATCCTCAGCTGCCTGAGCTCACTAATGACGCTCTGCTGTACGATGTCCGCATCTGGGTGTTCCTCCATGGTCCACGTCCCCATATTGTGACACAAAGGTGCCTGTTTATATTAGTAAAACAATCAATTGTGGTCAATGTGAACTTCAACGTTTCTAACTAAAGGACCACAGGTCAAAGAAGTGACTTTAAGTGTAATTATAACATATGAATTAATGTAAATTCCCATGAAACAGCTTTGATATTACTATATGCCCATGTATTTTTACATATTCCCTCCTAAATCTGATATCTGAGAGGCCCCCTGCCTTTTATGAATAAACTGTTGATTGTTGGTGTGAATATCACAATTGTACACTAGCTCTTTTTTAATAAATAATTAAATAATCAGTGAGTGGGGTGTTTCATTGTTACAACATCCTTCAATATGCAAGAGCAGTTATCGGCATGTTTCATTGCTTTAGTTTAGTTAGAAGTGTCTTATAAGATACATAAACAAATATAGAAAAATTATTACATTAAGTCATCTTAGGGGCAGTACAGAAAATTTAGCATGTATTATATTTTCATATCGGGGCGGCACGGTGGTGTTCTGGGTTCGAGTCCCAGGAGAACCAGGACTTTTCTGTGTGGAGTTTGCATGTCCCGTGACCGTGTAGGTTCTCTCCTGGTTTTCCGGCTTCCTCCCACAGTCCAAAAACCTGCAAGTTTGGTTTATTGGACATTCCAAATTTCCCTTAGGAGTGAGTGTAAGTGTGCATGGTTGTTTATCCTTTATATGTCTTGTGTGTGACCCTGCGATGGACTGGCGGACTATCCAGGGTGTACCCCGCCTATTGCCCATTGACCACTGGGATAGGCTCCAGTTCGCCCCACGACGCCATTAGGGAATAAGCGGTTACGATAATGGATTGATATGAATTGTTTCTTTTCTGGGTTTTATAAACAGATAAAAAATGGACACTTTGTCAGGCTCAGGAACTCAGCGAGGACTCAGACGCAGAGCTTAGTCAAAATATTCCAAAATGTATTAACAAAGGACGCACTCAAAAGGAGTGGACAAAAAGAGAAACATAAAGCGCTCCAAAAAACGGAGGGGCAAAGTACAAACTCAAAGAGGCTCTCGTTACGAGGCTGAGGAAAAGTCACAAAACAATACTGATGAAAGTAACAACGTAAAGTCTCTCACGAGGAGGCAAGGGGCTTCAACAAAGTAACAAAGGAATACTCACTAGGAATGATCATCGAGGAGGAAAACAGAAAAGCACTTTTAAAGAGGCAAAAACGCAGGAGGCACAATGGCAGGGAACGGGATCTAAGGCAAGGTTTATCTATGACGAGGGAACTGTGAACAAGACAGGCACTGTGGTAGGGAACGAAACACACTGGCACGGGACAAGGGGAGACGAGGACTATCTAACCACATGAGGGAAGGGATCCCCAGGTGTACACAATAGGTAATCAGGGAGACGGTCAGACTGGTGACACAACAGGAAGTGCAAGTGACCTGAAACGAGATGAGGGTTATTCTTCCAAATAAAACAGGAAATGACGAGACTACAAAAAGACGAGACGAAAAACCCTCAACCAGGAACACCACCGTGACACACTTTGTGCTAAGAATTCCGACTTGAGCTGGAACTTATGTAAAGCAATTACACAAAATTGAATCATTTTGTGAAATAGCTTTCATTGACAGTATACTTAATTAATTGGAAACTTTTCTTTTGTCCGAATGAGACCCAAAATAAATTATTTTGAAAAAAAGTTGAGGTTAAGATGCTAAAGTTGAAACAATTAAGAATCAAGAGACATCATTCTGCTGCGAAAATCAGACAGTCATTAGTCTCAAATTTAGAAGCACACTTACTGTATCAGGACACAGCATCCACTGAATTTTACATACAGCCCAGCCCCATAACTCAATAAGCACTGTGTGAAAACGGAGCCGTTTTCCCCCTCTATTCCCGAACCGTAGCCGCACGTCTATCACACACAGCGGCACTACATTTCGCAGCATGCACCACAGACCGGCCGTCGTCGCGACGGCAGTTACAAACAATTCACCCGACAATTCACCCGGTAATTTACGCTAGTTCAAATATTACAACAACACCTTCCATTTAACACTTTATTTACCAACCAGCTTCATCATACATTCCGTAGTCGACAATAAAACTTCCCAGCCAAACATACACCTTCTCGTTCCTGGTCCGTCAATAAACTGGTCCGTGTGGAAACACGTACCGCATCGGAGCCAGCCTTTTATTCATTTTCCCACGGCAGGGGTCAGACTATGTGGGAACAGGGGTGTAATGTTGGGAATAACTATTGTAAGTGTAATTATTAGGGGAATTGGGACTGTTAGCATGGTTCAACTGTCTGCATAATTATTGATGTTTTTGGGGAGTGATGCTAGGGGCTGTGTAGTATTTATTACAAGGGTAATCGGGCGTTATTGGGGATTTGCTTCCTGTGGAGTTGGGCTTTCCCAATTGACTGTATATTGGTGGGCCTATTTAAGGGGCACACTCACAATGCCAGAGAGGCTGCTGGAGGAGGCTGCTGGTGGTTGGCTTGGTGAGAGTGCTCTGAGAAATTATATTGGATGTCAGCTTGCAGTGAGGCTGTAATTTCTTTGTATTGCCTGCAATGGCCGGTTTTGTTTTCTTTGTTTGAAAGTATTTTGTTTGTTTTGTTTTTTTGTCTTCACCATCGCACTTGTAAATAAACCCCTACACTTTTTTCACTTGAACTGTCGTCATCTGGTTCTTACCACTTTTTGCAAATCCTCTACTTACTCCTCCTCTGACGTGAGACAGGGGCTGGCAAGCCGCTTTCTCACACACTGGATAGAAAAGAAGGTGATTAAATCTAGAAACAAACAACACTAGAGAACAAAACAAGATCATTACCCCCAGGACTTCTTATGGGAGTTTAACCTGGGCTGAAGAGGATGGAGAAAATATAGTCCAAACCTGACATTGTGATTTTCTTCCAATAGCTATTAAGCACCAAAAACATATAGGTCATAAGCATCGGTTCTAGAACAACAGGTATCTGCTAAATTGACATCTGGACACTGCGTGGAAGCTGTGCAACACTAAAAAGTAGGCAGTAAAATGTTAGCAGCAGAGACTGTCTGGGAGGCATGAGCAAGTGGCTGAAAGAAAGCACAGAAACAACTGAGCCAAACATAATTTAGAAGTGCGAGATGAACTCACTATCAAACCCTATGGGATTTCAAATACCAGACAGATAAGCAACAAGTTGGTGGGTAAACATTTTAGCACAAAACTGAAAAGCAGAGACCAGAAAAGAATGATCGTCTTAGTGATATAGTAAAACGGGATTCTTTTGGTCATTTCACTCCTCCACACTGAAATGTGCATGTGAAGATTTTTCAAAACAATAAATCATTGTTCTCATTCCCAGTGTTCTGCAATCTATCATTGAACTCTGGAAAATTTCATGAGTTCCCTTGAGAGCACAAATACCCGTACATGTATTGGTTTAACGTCTAGAGGGATGAGCGACACAGCTGACTCAGTCCTGTGGTAAAATACAACAGACAGCAGGGTTGCAAATCTTTAGCTCTACATCCAAGATACATGGAATCTGGTCAGACAGAGTGAATTAATGTACCACCTAAAAGGAGGCTATTAACATAACAGTCTATTTCTTTTACAACTGTCACTGACACATCAATCAGAAAGCTATTTCATTATTAAATAAAAGCATAAAAACTATTTGTAGATAGAACGAGGGCTTCATAGGTTCCCCCTTGTTGTGTATGCATATACACTTTGTTTTCTATTCCGCTGGCAGGTGGGACTCTGGATAAGTTATTACAAGTTATTACTCCTGCTGCTTTCTCTTCCCTGTAGCAGGAGATTTGAGAAATAATTGGAAAGCTTGACGTTATGCAGGAGTTTTTTACTCAAACACATGTAGTGATATTCTCAAATAGGTTTTGCTAGATGGCATGCAATGTGCAATTTAGAGAAAAAAAATTCAAAGCACAGAGGCCACATTGTTTGCGGTTATCTGAGTATTAACAGTGTATTTGAGAGAGTAAGAGCTCAATAAGAGCTCAGCAATCCATGACCCTCCAGTTGGCAAAGATGTCACTGATTTAATTAACTTATAAAACCCTTATGATCTGTGCTGTGTTGTAACAGTATTGATACCATATAGTTACTATACAATAGTATACAATTATACATACATGAATATATATGTGTGTGTATTGTCACGGCCCTTTCCTCTGACCTGCAGGGGCGGTTCCTCCTGTAGAGAGGTGGGTCTTACCAATTGGAGCCACATGGGCTCACTATATAAGTTTGGCTCCACTACCAATCTCTCTGCTCCTCCAGGTACCCACCTTGTTGTTTGGTTCAGTTACGTTTTGATTACCACTCAGTCACATTCACACATACATTTTCACCCACTCATACACTGCACACACTAAACATATTTACATACTCACATCTCATCCCTGTTTTATTTATTTAAAGTTACTCATACTTTACAATAAACTATTGATTGGCCTATACCGTTTTGTCTCCCCTCCTTTTTGTCCTGGGCACTGAGCCGGCCTGTGACAGTATGTATTTATGTGAGTCAGATAAAATTGTTTCCTCATCTTTGGTTTCGGACACATTTACAGTTGCTCTTTAAAGACGAGGATAGTGATTCAAGATTCAAGAAAATTCATTTCGGTGTCACCAGGTAAATTAACAATCACAGATTTTCTGCTTTCTTCAGGTGTCTTATGGGAAAAGTAATCTTCCTTTTATCCTTGTTTTAAGCTTCTTCTCAGGGGAGTGAAGGGAAGCAGTTGCTTTTTCCCACCAACACCATATCTCTCAGTTAGTTAGTTAGTTAGTTAGTTAGTTAGTTAGGTGGGGTCACTTTGAAGATGAGGTTAAGCCATCATAGCTTTAAACAAAAAAAAACAAAAAAGAATGACTTATTACATTCCTTCCTGTGTATACACAGTCGAACATAGAACATTTACAATCTGAAATGGGATTTAGGGGCATCGTCTATGAGGGTTTCAATCTCACAACAAGAATGAACATTCTGCTGTTGTAATGCTGC